AGATAAGAAGAGTGGTATGTTTGACTACGAGGTTCACAATAAGTGAATGTATATGTGGTTTTGATCCATTTACACGTCTCATATTAGTTTGCTCTCTGCCATGGCCAAACACATTATCAGGAAACATGACAGACACAAAGATGAATCTGGAAATGCACAAACCGGTGAGTACACTAGATCAGTCATTTCCGACTCTTCATTTTCTTTGGAAAGCATTTACCCTTTAATAGAAAACCTAACCTAGACAGTGTATTGCAACAACGATGTAGTTGTTAGATGGAGAGGATGGAGAACACAGCACGTCTAAAATCAGCGAGACACAAGGTCTTGCCATCCTGGTTGCTGGGCAGCATTGTTCTAAGGAACAGCAGATTTATTTGTTCTTCTGGCAGCCCTGGTACTTGCAGTATTCTTCCCCAAACCGTAAAGCAAATGCATCCGCTCTTGTGCGACTTTCCTTACATATTATCCAGCTCCCACTTGCATGTGAGTGATTGAAAATGCCATGGCTTGGATTAGGCGCACCTCAGTCCTCAAAGTGCCATCCTTTGCTATCAAACCATAACCCAAATCCACTTCCACTGAGTTGTGTCCAAGTCATAGTGAGCAAATAGGACAATGTAGACTTGCCCTTATGGTTTCTAAGACTGTAAAAAAAAAAAAAATTGTTTTTTTTAAGACTGTAAATCTCTATAGGAGCAGACAGCCTTATCGTTCACCCTTGGAATACCTGGTGGGTTGGAACCACTGACCTTAATAGCACCCCCCCCCCCCAAAAAAAAAAAAAAAGCCCAAACAAAACCCTAAACTGGACACCATTGAGTTTATTCCAACTCATAACAACCCTATAGAACAGGGTAGAATTTCCCTTGTGACTTTCGGAGACTGTTAACTCTTTACAAGAGTAGTAAGCCTCATCTTTTTCTCATGGAGTGGTTGAGGGTATCAAAATGTTAGTATAACCACTATGCCAACAGAGCTCCTTCAGCATCCAAAAGTAGACATTATTTAATATGGTTTTGAATAAGCTATGATTGTGCTGCCCCCCCCCTTCAACTTTGCATGTGTCATCATTCTCTTGTAAATACAGATGAACATCTCAGTGATTAATGAAGAGCACAAAATTTGACAGTTGAATCTGTATAACTTAAAGAATGTAGGAAAGAAGAGAATTGCCAAATTATTAAACTTCAAAGATGGGAATAATTTTAAGATCTTTAAAATTTTTACCCTTGTATTTTAAGTCTAAGGAATCAGATTCAAAAGGTGGATGGCAAGTATAAGTAAATGTGATAAATGGTTAGCAATTTTCAAATGTAAAATTTACAAAAGAGGAGCTTTCATATTATAGTTGGTAGTAACATTGCAGACGAGACTATTTTTAAACCATAGCGAATGCTGAAATGCATTTGATCAACTGTAATGGAAAGATAATTGAAGCAGTGTCAAGTATGATGGATGTAGTATGTCTGTTTAGGAAGTGATCTGTGCGACAGTGTGTGATGCGTGGAGGTAGGTGTTGGGGACACTCCGATTTACTGATGGTCGTAGTGGTTGTGACGTGGAGTATGGTCAGTGGATAGGGTAAGTCTTGTTTTCCATTCTTAAGAACAAAAAAACAAGCCCACTGCCATTGAGTTGATTCCAACTCATAATAGAGGCAGTGAACCTTTACAGTCTCCTCTTTCTCTTGTAGACTAGCTGGTGGGTTTTAGCTGCCAACCTTGTGGTTAGCAGTTAACTAACCTTGAGGCATAGAGACTATAGGATAGAGTAGAACTGCCCCTTTGAGTTTCCAAGGCTGTAAATCTTTGCACGTTTCTCCAAAGCTGGTGGTTTGAACGACTGACATTGCATTTAGGAGCCCAGTCTGTAGCCCACTGTGTTATAAAACTAACAAAAACAACTAAAGGATTAGAACTCTCAACTGCTCTAACGTAGAGTAGGTCTGCTCCCTTTGAGTTTCTGAGCCTAAATCTTTACTGGAGGACCCGGTCACATCTTTCTCCCGTGGAACTGCTGGTGGGGTCAAAGTGCTGACCTTGCAGTTAGCAGCCCAATGCATAACCTGCTCTGCCACCCGGGCTCCTCGGCTATCAAGGTGGTTCTGACTCTTACAACCCCGTGTTTCAGAAAACTGCACTCCCTAGAACACCCCCCCTCCCCCCCCACACTGTGATCTTTTGGAAGTAGATGTGGAGGCCTTTTTTCCAAGAAGCCTCTGAGGGGGCTTGCATCAGCAACCTTTTGGTTAACTGGTTATCTCATTCAAATCCTTGGTGATTTCTTACTTAGGTTACCTGTCACATTCTGAAATCATTGAAGTAATCCACTATGATCAGATTTTGTGATGTTCGCTTTGTATTTCTAGAAATCTTTACTTTTTTGGTAGGTGACTGCTACGTTGTTTGTCCATAAAATTTTTATTTAGAGAAATACAACTAGAGCTAAATAAAGAGACGGATACACAGTGTAACCGGAAAGGTAGGCTTTGCATCATACAGATTTCAGTCTTTTCAAGTTATGTGTATATTAAAAGTAACCAGAGTCATCCTCCTCTCTCAAACAGGACATGGCTGGTTAAGATGCAATTGTTTGTAAATATATGTTGGGGCAAGTTAATCTAAAAGATGTTGAACTTGTGTGATCACAAGGTGTCAAAGGGATCAGGTATCAGGCATCAGAAGGCCCAAAACAAAAACCATTTTGAAGAGAACAAGGGGTGGGGAATGGACCCAAAGTTCATCTGTATACAATTGGACATCCCCTCACAGAAGGGTCATAAGGAAGGGACCAGCCAACCAGAGGGCAGTATAGCACATGAAACTCACAACATTCTTTTAGTTCAGTGGTTCTCAACCTATGGGTTGTGACCCCTTTGGGGTCAAACGACCCTTTCACAAGGGTCACCCAGCTCATAACAGTAACAAAATTGCAGTTATAAAGTAGCAACGAAAATAATTTTATGGATGTGGGGTCACCACAACATAAGGAACTGTATTAAAGGGTCGTGGTATTAGAAAGGTTGAGAATCACTGTTCTAGATCTTTATTGCCCCCCTCCCCCCACACACACTTTCATGACGCCATTTCTGTCTTACAAGTCCAGCTAGACCAGAGCATGTGCACTGGTACAGGTAAGTGCTCTTGACACACGAATCATTTAGGGTAGGGGGAGGTTGAGAGGAGGAGGAGGAGAAAGGGGGAACTGATCACAGTGATCAGTGTACAACCTCCCCCTCCTCCCCTGGAGGATGAACAACAAAAACATGGGTGAAGGGAGACAGTGGACGGTGGAAAATAGGAAGATGAACATACTTTATAGATTATCAAGGGTTCATGAGGGGGGGAGGGAGGGGGAAAAAGAAGAGCCGATACTAAGGTGTCATGTAGAAAGAAAATGTTTTGAAACTGATGATAACATATGTACAAATGTGCTTGATATCATTGATGTGTGGATTGTTATAAGAGCTGCTGTAAGAGCCCCCAATGAAATGATTTACTTAAGAAAATATATATTGAAAGTGAACGTCTTTGGAGGAGGGAGGCTTGTTCATCACATATTAAAATATACTAAAGGCAGACTGGCAGACATTCCTAGTAGAGGGATGGGTGGATGTGATGGGAAATCAAGTCCGGCTAGGGGAAAGGGAGCATGCATGCCTAGAGAAGACAAGCCCATGTCTGCTGGTGGAAAAAGGGGAGGATCAGCTTCCTAGTGGGGTGTGTGTGTGACATACTTTTAAGGACCCTCAGAGGGGGAGTATGCCAGGCACTGTGCTCCTAATAAGCCACATTGACCCGAGTTTCTGTAAATCCCTGGGGACCTAGACCATGTGCCATAGAACCCTGGACATTGAACCCTGTACCTTCAAGGCGCACATCATGCTTCAGAGACCATACCAGAGGGATGGGATGTGGAAACACCACTAGGTGAACTGCACCTCAAACACACCTGTAACCTGAGGACTTATGTCTGAAACTACATAGTGCATGAACAAGCAGAAGACAGCTCTACCAAGAAATTGAACTGTCAACAGACAGACTTAATATTTATGAACTACCTCAGTGCCCTCCTTACTCATATTAAGATATGTATCACTCTGACCTGTGTCTGATATGGTTAGTGAATGTGCAAATGGCATCCAGTCACATAATGATTTATTCTGTATAAGTGAATAATCCATATATTGTGATACGTAGTTCACCTATACCTGTTCAACCTCCCATTCTCAATAGTGTTCTAAAATTAGTACCGAGAGCTAACCATGAGACTCAAAACAGAAGGTCCTTATGCTCCAAGGAGATAACTGATAAGATTCTCTACCATAAGTTAGCAAGGATGTCTATAAGGTAAACCAGAGGCAGATAAGACTAAGGAATACTGACTCAAATTCAGTCTTTAAAGTGTTGATTGTTGATACACTTTTGCAGGTGACAGTATACAATTAGAACTTAGAACTAACTTAGGACCCTTTCCTGCATTTCCTCTCCGCCCCTTTGCCTACTGTCTATCATTATGTCCCAAGGGAAATAGTTTGAGAAATTCGGAAGGGTACAAGTAAACTTACTGAAGAACAAGAACAAAAAAAGATAGAACAAAGTACCATACATACTCGAGTATAAACCGACCCGAATATCAGCCAAGGCACCTAATTTTACCACAAAAACTTCATTTAAAATGTGCTGAAAAACTTGGCTTATACATGAGTATATATGGTACAAGTAAAATGATGATTCAAGGTGCTTTTAGTGCGTGTTAGTGTGCACCTCTGAGCCCATACTCTTTGAAGATGGAAAATGACTCTTAAAAATGGAACTATTTTGACCAAGGATACTTTGGGGAAAAGAAGCAATTTTGTCAATAAGCACAGAAGAATTCTAGTGTGGGTAATATCTTTTGTAGCACTGGAAGCATGTCTTGTGATACTCTCTCAGTGCTTTAATAGTACTGACCTGAGCTTCTCTTATTGAATTACATTTCCTTGCCCTCTCTTCCAGTGGCAGCCGGTTAGGAGGCCTGGTTACCGTGTTATGCTTCTTTTTCAATCACGGAGAGGTAGGTCGTCAACAATCTATTTTCCAACTGCTTAGGGGATTTTCCTTGTTCACGTGCACGTTTCTAGTCTGAGTAGTCCAAAGATACTTCGTAAAATTGGGGGAGATGTTACATGTAGAGATATGAAGTTCTTCTTTAAATTTAATCCCTTGTAGCACCTTTTAAATGTTTGATGTACTTATTTTGATTCAAGTCCAGAAGACTAGCATTTATTTTAAGGTAAAAGCTGATGGCCATTTAATCTTTTATATAATGCAACTTTTAGCGATTTGAACAAGTACAGTGTGGTGCCAATTCTGTATGTCGTTTTAGAACCATTTAGAACTATTTGCTCCTAACATTTTAGGAGCAATAGAAATAAGCCAGCTGTAGATATGGTTGATTTCTTTGTGTGGAGAGAACCTTATATTGTAGGAGCTACCCAGTATGTTCCTATTTTAATGTATCTCTATTTTTTATATACTTGAAAATATCCTTTATATTTTATTATAATTATACGTTTTCAAGGTTCTAAGGACCTTTTGTATAGAACAATGTTATAAAAAACATAGACTCTGACACCAGACTTTTAAAAAATGTGTTGCCATTGAAGTGACTCCAACGCTTGGCTGGCCCATCTGTTAAGATGGTAGACCTGCTCATATGGGTTTCCTGTTGTAATCTTCGTGAGAACACATTGACAGGCCCCTTCCTCCGGAATATTGCCAGATGGGCTTGAATTGCCAACCTGTAGGTCAGTAAACTAGCAAATTCCAGTCTCTCAAAACGATGCTAACTGCCAGGAGTTGATTCCAACTCACAGTTACGGTGCCCTTGTGGGTTTCCGAGAGTCACTCTTTGGAAATGGAAAGCCCCGTCTTTTTCTGGGGTGCCACTCTCACTGCTGTGTAGTTAAAGCCAACTCACAGCCACCGTATAGGACAGAGCAGAACTGCCCCTGGCGGTTTCCAGAGTAGAAGGAAGGCCTTGTCTTTCTCCTGTGGATCAGCATGAGGTTTGAACTCTGACCTTTGAGCTCTGACCTTGTGGCTAGCAGACCAACTTGTAATCACTTCAACACCAGGGCTGCTGGATGCTGCTTGGTTCACAGCCTAGCCCTGCCAGTCAGGGCCTTTGTGATGTGGGCAAGCCATTGCATCTCTCCAAGATTTAGTTTCATCTTTACAAATTGTCATAATGATGTTAGCCTTCTCAGAATGATTGCATAGATAAAGGAGTTTGTATGTGTTAAAGTGACTGCAACAATGTCACATAGCAACTGCTATGTGTTAGCTTGTATTATTAGTGCCAGTTGACTTAGTTCAGATTAAAATCTTAATGGTGCCAATTAACTCCTCCCACTGTTATTCATAGTTTTATATGAACGTCTGGCAATATGTCTGTCTTGATTTCTTTGGTGATACATTTTGTATGAAAGAGGAAGAAAATAAGGTCAGCTTGCTTTGTGTAAAGTGACTTAATCCTTTTATGTCTTTATGCATTAAGGAGATGCAATGTTTTGAATATGCACATCAAAAAGCTTCAAAAGTAGGCATAGCCACATGTGAGGGCAGAGTCAAGGTTGAACTTTTAAAAATATATATCAGTGCGTTACTAGTGGACATTGCACTAGTATATTCTTAGTGTTTAGAACCACGGCGTTTGAAGCTGGAGCGGCCAGTGTTTAGAACCACCGGCGTTTGAAGCTGGAGCGGCCGCGTGGATTAGAATATCTGATGGATGGTTGCAGTGTGACACCAGTCACTTGCGGTGGTTTGAGTTCTGAGCACGGTGAAGAGTTATTTGGCTTTTCGTGCCTGGATGCTGCCTTCACATTGTGGAAGGGTGAGCCGTAAAACACTGAAGCAGGGATTCTGAGAGAGCGACCTCTGGACTGGCAAATAGCTGCTTCACAGTGGAGAAAGGATCAGTGAAGGTTAAGTAAGGAAAAAGGGGAGAATTGAGAAGTGTGAAGCCAAGTGACAGTATAAAAGAT